TGTCCTTTCATACCAAAGAAGGATCTTTTCGCCTAAAAAACTGATGATTGATAAACTAGGAGATATTAGTGCACCGGCTGATCTGCACAACACGTAGTGATTTTGCAATCGTAAGTAATGATTCCAACTCTGCCAGTGTGAGCTTCTACATCAGAACGGATCTTTCCAAATATAGCATTCCACAGTAAAGTTGATGGATTTTCACTACATTCGACTGCTCCTTCTAGAATCAGGTTGCACGATTTCTGCATCTCGCTAGACGGCAAATCCACCAAAACAAGGCTAACAGGCCATAATTTCCTGAACTGCATTATTGATCCGAGGTTAAGTGAAAAATTACTACTTTTTGTTACCCGAAATCTGAATTCCATCAATTGAAATAACAGTGGAAAGATTCAAGTGATTCTGAAGTTCTGCTTTCCAATATTTAGAGAAAAAGGGGCTATTCAAATTATGAACGATATTTTTCCCTTCTTTCAGTTGTTTCCTGATTTCCATGATCTTATCAATATATAGTTCCACCAATTCTTTTAATTGGGATCTGCTACCAATACGGACGAACGTTGCAGTAGCACTGTCGACGCATTTATTACTGTAAAAGGGAGAAATGCTCAGTCACTTATACATATCCGTTACCATTTCTCGTGCGAAGACAAAAGTCCCTCACCACATGCGTTACAGTAGTTGTGGCATGAAAAATTACTTTTGTAATGATACCATAATTTCCGCGCCTCTTCCGCAAAAGTATCCTCTTGACTAGTTAAAAGTCGTTCGAATTCTGAATGCGAAAAAAACTACTTGTTTTCATAAGTTTCCTATCATTTACCTCTATTCGACAATCTACTGATACAATTAGATGTTACGAACAACAATACGGGCGTCGAAACTTCTTCTATCATTCTGTTCAAATCTAAACCAGGACAGTGAATCTCTAAGTTCTAGCATAATACCTGTCTGCCCCCCGTCATCCTCATCCGTGTCCTCATCCTTATCCATATCTTCTAATTCCATTTCAAAATCTACATTGGAAGTATCTTCGAGTGTTGCCATCTCTTTGACTGCATACGGAACATCATCTTCACCAACCCTTCTTTCCTGACTGCCTGAAAGTTCGTTGTACAATGATGCAATGATGATGGACAACAATTAATCTTACTTGTATCATTGCTTCCCATTCCATGAAATGGTCGAACTTCCTTATGTGTCGTACGAGGCATGATTTAATCTGATAAAGTTTATCCTTCACACATTATCTTTATAGTTTCACCACTAGAGCTACATCTTACTGTACTAGTTATCGATATTCAATTTTCTCGATGAAAATTGAATAGAAATTTGCATTTTCCAGCAATAAAAAAGTAGTTAACTCACTCACCATAAAATAATACACTTAAAAATTTCAATAAAAATCAGAAAAATATAAAATAGAACCAGAAAGAATTTAAAGAAATAAAAAACACACCGGCAGGCGGTTTTCGCGATAGGTCTATTATAGGTCTATTATAGGACCTATCGCGAAGGCGTTCGCGATAGGTCTATTATGAACTCTGTGTTTTCGCGATTGGTCTGAAATCAAATGCGGTATGGATAAAGCTTCGTGATAGACAAGTCGCGAATCACCTGTGGTTTCGCTAAAAGACTCTCGATGATCTCCATCGCCACGAACGTGGTGAGGGAAGCCCCCGAGATCTACCATGGGATGTTCCCGGGTTCTTTCTGAGGAGTGTGAAGCGGAGGCTGCGGAAGTTCGAGTGAACCGAGGGGTTTTGGCAAAAGCCTCGTCTTTTTTCGTCTTCGTCGTCGTTCAGCGTTTTACGCCGGTCTGTCTGTCACGCCGGTCTGTCACGCCTGTCACGCCGGTCACGTCAATTACAAGCCGGTCACGTCAATCCGGCATCAGGTCACGTCGGTCACAACGGGCCCGGCAAATCTTCAAAATACGTCCGAGCTCGGGGCGCGACGCAGGCCGATGAAGAAGCCTATGAAGACCGGGAGTCCTCAGGTAGACGGTGTACTCAGGTAGACGATTTGAACTACGAACGAATTTGATCTAATTCCGAACAGACCAGCGGGATTTCGTAGCATCGTAGCGAGCGCTTTTCGGAAATTTTGTTTTCTTTTCAACGCCATCAACATCATCAGAAAACATTTTCAACATCATTTTCAACATCATTTTCATTTTCAACATCATTAGAAAAACAGGAAATCGGAACGAAAATGAGGGGTGTGATACAAATGAATGAATGGGATCAGCAAAAAAAGAAAACGATGAGATCAGCAAGAATAATGGGACTTATGAGATAAGAAAAAGTGACAAAATTTATGAAAAAAATCTCAATTCGAATTCTATTCTAATTCAATTCGAAAAAGAAGTTTTTGGCTTTGTGAGGTCATAACACATTCGGTTGATTCGGTTCGGCAATTTCACGCATGTTTCTTTGTCCACCAGACTTTCGAAAACTAACCTGCTCATGACAAGACACGGCTTCCAAAAGTGGGGCCTTCTCGACTTGTGTAAATTGAGCTCTTACGAGCTCTTATTGAGTTTTTACGTAATCCTTTAAGCTGAAAACGGCAAAAATTATCTTACCTGCAGAGTTTTCTCTGAATTTAAAATCTTCAAAATATTCGTATTTTTGTCGTTTCATAGAATTACTGTCTTCTATAGAAGTCGTATATATATATATATATATATATATATATATATATATATATATATATATATATATATATTGAACTTTGAATATTCAGCTATCAATAAAAAAATTCACCTAGAATTTTGCAAAAACGTGCACAACACATTAAAATATGTTACAAAAAATATAGTTTAAAGGGGGACTCCGACCAAAAATTTTTATTGCGGAAAAATTCAAAGAAAATCCTAAATACCCGAAAAACGACGTTGAAAAAAAAAAGGATTTGAATTCCCGCGCTGTGAGAAACCTAGGCCACGGCATCATAGCGCCTTTCTTACGGATTTTTACGGTGTTCATGTCCGGCAGGTTAAAAATGTAAAAAACCACTGTCGGCCACTTGAAAAAACGGTTGTCAGGCGCTGTGGCCTAGGTTTCTCACTGTTTTCTCACCGAATTCAAATCCTTTTTTTTTCAACGCCGTTTTTTGGGGATTTCGGATTTTTTTTCGAATTTTTTCGCAATAATATTAGGAAAATACATATTTTTTGAAACATTTCAATGCAATAAAAATTTTTGTTCGGAGTCCCCCTTTAAATAATTGAGCGAAAAAAAAGGCAAAAGTTGAGAGAAATACCCATTTTCCTGACGAAAAAAATTTAGGATAACAAAAAAAAAGAAAACAATTCATCCGCGGCAGCTGAGTCATTGATGGCGCATTTCTCGTGGCAACTTCGGTATTAGATCTAGTCCAGATCTAATTCCGAATGAACTCAGATCTAATTCCGAATCGTTTACCTGAGATCGGAGCAAATCAGGAGCGGAGGAAATCGTAATTTATCGGAGTTCATGCATGGGATTATTCGGAATTCGCCTTCGGCGCGATTTAATCTCTCGAAGGGACATGCAAATCTATATATTTATTTTCAACCTCAAAAAGTCGACAGAGTTACACCGGATGGCCTCTAGCGTTTTATATATAAGTAAAATATCGGATAGAACCTCCGAAGAACATTATATTTTATAGAACATTATAGTTTAAATGAATTCCATAATATCATCTTCTTCTTTGTTGAAAGAGTCGTTTTCCACTGGAATATCTCCTTCCTGCATAACATCTTCTGCTACACCTGATTCCAGTTCTCCATACAATCGTCTCAAATTAACACCAAGCTTGTCATCACTATTCCATTTCTCACAATCGAAACTTTCGGTCCTTGTTGGGTTGGAGCATCGGAGAAGACGAGGAAAACTTCGAGAATCATCAATATCTAACGAAAGCGTCAGAGCCTCTTTATACTTTTGTGCTTCCAACACAACCATCAGATGATCAGGCTCTTCTTCATCCATTCTTAACTCGACGACATGGAATCCATCGGTTTCCGATTCTTTGACTTCCAGAATCACAACATCTATGGAGATGTAATAGTCCGTTATTTTTTCCGTTAATTCGTACAAAGAAGACTTAGAATTCCATTCAAGCAAATCAAATCCGTTGAGGAATTCTCCAGTAAATTTGGGAGCTTCTCCAGGAAAACTTTCTGATCTTTGAATGTTTAATTCAAAGATTTGGGTCATAAGAGGGATTCTTACAACAACCTCATTGTCATCACATCTTGAAACCGTAGATCGAGTGATTTTCGAATTGAGGTCAGTGGTCTATAAATGATAAAGAAATTACTTTAAAAAAACGAGCAGTATATATTATTCTTGTGCAAAAAATTGGAGTTGTGGCCGAATTTTCACACAAGTTAGGCCTCCGTATTTCAAGGAGAGTTTTCGAAAACACAACCGGCAAACGAGTCCTACCATAACCCAACAATAAATATTTTCGCGAAAATTTTTGACTTATTTTTTCCTTTTTATCGCGGT